GNCTAATTTTTAATATAACCATCGCCCACACTGTTTCTCTTATTTCTTACAAATATTCTATACTACCTCTTTCTTTCTATATGTGTTGTTTTGCCTATGTTGTTTTTCTATAGTTATTCCCCTCTCCATCTTCCTTTCACCCTCACTCTTTTTGTATCTCTATATGTCTGTCACATTCTATGTTTCTCTGTTTAACTCCCTCTTTATGTCTTTTTTTTTCTCTCTCTCTCTCTCTTTGTTCAATTGGCGATTTATTTCCTTTAATATCTTCCTTTATTTCTACCAATCTATTTGTCTATTCTGTGTGTTTCTTTCTTACTCTTCTAGTATCGTAATTTTTATATATATATATATACGTATGCACTTTTAACTCACTCGCTTTACTATAGTAATCCCTGTCTCCTTTTTAAATTAGAGGCCGCTTGTAAATTTGAGAGCTTTACCCAAGGAGATGGAATATTTTTTACTCTAAGCTCACTAGATTTATAATAAAAATTACTGCTTCCAATTTACCAACTTCTTTAGGAGGCGACGAAGGCCACAGTGGTTGACACGGCACTAATCATGGTAAGGTAATGATCCTTGGTTCGAATTCTCTTAAATTTGACAACCGTCTTTGGGAGCTTTTCCCCAGCTTATTCCTTAGAAATGTAATGACTGGTCAAAAACAGCCACATTTTTGTTTTTGCATCTTATCCATCCTCCTGATAATAAATTATGTATCAGTCCGTTTGAAATTTGATTTATACTGTAACTAACAATCGTATTTGTTGATTATTTATTATTTATTAGTAACATATTGTGACAACATACAGATTATTAGAAAATGTGGGCCATTTTGTATCAACTACCCTACAATTGTTTTGTTCAATTTGAACATTTTTAACAAAAAAGTTGGATGAGCTCTGGTTGTGCATTTCCCTATCCTGAGATATTGAAAATTACCAAATAATTAACCACCTCTCACCTCAACTTCTTTCTTAATGTCTCTAATTATTCTCCGAACATTAACAGCATACACTGAAAAAAAAAAAAACATGCGATCCAATTTAATAAATAAATTACAAAATAAAAAACTAAGAGGACATCTCACAAAAAGTGCATGCAAGCAGCTGGACACGGTTCTAGGTGGTATTTGGTAACATAACCAGAAACTCATCACTTCAGTTCAACCTGTTTGTGTCGGCTCAGCGACTTCTTAACCTTTGTACACATTATAATTATCACCTACCTCCATTTAATGAATAAGTATGCAATTTATGAAAATGCACTCCTATCATTTAATGCTATCCTAATTAAAACCCCTACAGGAGTCCGCAGGAGGCACTGAAGGGTGAATGTGAGTGCTGTGCATCATAATAGAATGGGATGCTACCTAACCATCCCCAAACTTCTTAAGTTTCAAAGTACTTTAAAAGAAATATATTTTGAAATCACAAAACCATCTTTCTGTCTGTTTAGAAAAAGCTGGTTTTCAATTCACTTATCAAAAGTTGACAGCTTTACACGAGCGATATCGCCTTTAAATTTGTCGGCTTTACACTAGAAAGATCACTTAAATTTGACAGCTTTATACGTGCTTTCTACAGCTTTACACGAGCTAGATAGTTTTTATATTTGACAGTTTTACAATACAAATCCCAGTTTCCAATTTAACAACTTTTTAATTCTTAAAGTATTAAAAAAAATAGTAATCAGAAAATTTTCATTATCGGTCCTTTTTGAACGCTGCCGACGTTTTTTATTATGGTTATAAAAAGCAGGTTTCAGGCCGCTTATATTCGCTTGATAGCTTATAAAATTTGACAGCTTTACACGAGCGAGATGAGATCGCTTTCAAATTGGTTTATAATTATTATTATTTCATATAATTATAACTTTATAAGATCTTATATTTATAATTCATAGCTTTTTAATTTTTTCAACGGTTTTTTCTTATTTTTCGTTTCCCTGTCCCAGTTTGACAAAAAAAATTTATGAAAAATATTTTGACAGCTCTTCATGCAGATTTTTCTCATGCTTTTAATAAAATAAAAAACCATTTTATTAGTATTTCTTTTTTGTAAGAAAAAGAATTTTCCGGAATGATGCCGTTGTTGGAACACTTGAAACGTTCCAACAGATAGTTTTCTTGAACAGATGGCCGGTGTCTTGCGCATATATAACGCCCGTTATACTGCCATATTTGTTGGAACGTTCCAGGTGACAAGGCCCTATCGTCGCACGTCTTGGAACGTTTCAACTATTCTCTACGTACAGAACGGTTAGGTTATTCAGTCCTATTGATCAGCTCTTACGTAAGTCGGATTACCTAGGTCGTAATTACCTCTGAACGGGTGAACCGTTCCAACTTTACTGTCCTTATATTACGGTAATACTCACTCCCATATTTTGCACAACGTTGCATTTCAAACGTCCCAACTAACTGACATGTGCCAACTGATCAATTTAAAGAATCTCTCCGGTTCCTTAGTACGTTCCGTTTAGCATCCATCAGCATCAATCTTCTGGTTTTGATCAAATGCACCCATGGTCTGTCGGAACGTTCCAATTGATTAGTCTTCTAGGCCGATCTTATGGTTTCGTTTTGTTGGAACGTTCCAACTATTCATTCTTAAGCATATGGTCGTGAAATAAAAATATTCTTTTCCACACCAACTCAACCGTACGTTGCCCAGTTAACAAATTTTGAAGTATGTTAGCTTTAAAGATGTTTCAATTTTCCCCTCATAATTTAGGGGGGAACGATTGTCGCAGAAGAGAGTTGTGAGTCCTTTGGAACAGAGGCCTTTTAAAGTTTTGTTGTAACGTTCCAACTGTTTAGCCTATTGTGAACAGTCAATTCCTCAGCAGCCTGGAGAGTTCCAACTGTACTGTTCTTACGGTACAGCCACATGTACTTTTATATTTGTTGGAATGGTCGTGATCCGTCGTCCGAGTGCTGTAAGTCAAGTGTTTCTATTTTTCCTCGATGGCCGCTTATTAAGCTTATGAACTCTCCGATTTGTTGGGACGTTCCAAATGTATTCCACTTGGAACGTTCCAACAGTTGAGCGTATTATGACAAACTCTTGGTAGACGTTTTGTGACGTTTCAACTTCTTAGAAGGTTTGTTATTTTGCTATTTGCTCTCCTTTATTTTTGAACTTTCCAACTGTTCTGTCGTTACAATATCGTTGTATTCCGTCTTGGAACTCTCAAGCATGTCTTTTTTTTCTCTTAATTAAATTTTTTTTAAAGTCCACCTTTTGTGTTTTGTAACTATATTTTCGACAATTTTAAGGAATGACACCTTTTCATAAAATATTTTTAACTACTGACGAGCTTTTCCCAGCTCGTTACACCATTTAAGAAAAATGTAATATCCTCCAAACTGCTTTTACAAGGAAAAATATCAATCTCCCCGCCCATAAAATTGATTATTTTTTCTTAAAAGATGGGAAAATCGACCAATTTTCACCAGCCATTTTCTTATAGTTTTCTTCAGTGTTGATTTTTTTTTATAGGTACCAGATCAATTGTAATTTTAAAAAACGGTAATTTTTATTATGACAATTTACATTTTCCAAATTACTCATAAATTTAAATTTACCCCACAAGGGTTTGATCATAAAATTTAGACAGCCCTTTTCACGTTATTCATTCATGTCAAAACTTAAACGAAGAGCCGAATTTTCCTTCTGTTTTTCAATGACTGGAAATTCCCTCTTCAAAAAAAAAATAAAAACGGCTTTTATTATAGTGCAGTATAACGAACTAACTGTATTTATTATTTTTAGTCCGGATGTGTTTTTGTTTTATCACTGATTCTACGGCCGCTATCAGCGTACTTGTTCGAACGTTCCAACTGATCAGTTCTGTATTTATTAAAGCTGTCCAGAAGCGTTTCTATTTTTTCACTCTTCTACGGCCGTTGTCTTCACAGGATTGTTGGAACGTTCCAACTGGTCAGACCACAGTATATATGTATTTATTCTTGGAAACCCAGAAGGCGTTTCTGTTTTTTCACTCTTCTACGGCCGTTATGTCTTCACAGGACTCTTGGAACGTTCCAACTGTTCAATCCTTACGTGTTCTATTCTTGAAACGTGCAGCGTTACAACAATTATGTACTGTATTGTTCGTGAATATTCTCACCTATAGATTGGACCACTCACCCAACTGTTGGAATGTTTCAAGTCCTCTTTTTACAGTGTACACTTGTTAGAACGTTTCAACTGCTCAGTCATTGAGCCAGTTCACTTACCTGTTGGAACGTTCAGTTGTTCACTCCTTATTGCCTGTTGGGAACGTTCCATACGCACGTTCATGTTGAAACACACGTTGCGATCTGTCGTTATTGACAGACTTATCTGGTGGTACGTTCCAACTGTTTTCTCCTTAGATCTCTACATATCGGTTGGAACGTTCCAACTGTTCACTTCTCGGTTAGGGATGGTTATTATATAACGTGTTTTTCTCTTGGAACACATGCAGTGTACAATAGTTATGTCATTATTTTGTACAACCTGTGATCCGGTTGTAAGTTCTAATTGATAAGACAATACAATGCCTTTGTATTTATCCCGTGGAACACTTGAACCATTCCAACTTTACTGGCCTAATATTACGGTAACTCATTCTTGGTTGGTGCGTTCCAACTGATTAGCAGTTACAGTATTTTATTAAGTCAGTTCAATTGAAGTCCTACTTAATAGTTCTTACGGTATCGTTTCTCTTTCTCTGGAATAGACCGACTAGACGGACAGAGTTAGTGACCCGGTGGCGCTTTATCACGTCTGTTCAACGGACCCACAGGCCAACAACCACAAACTTTACTAACACTAACTTCATTATCAATTTTAATTAGAACTTTCTAGTTGTTCAGTTCAAACACGGTGATGATGTTGATCGATTCTAGGAAGCAGCTCCCCAGTCTTCAGGCTTATTGCATCTTCCTAATTTTCCTATCCTCAGAGGCCTAAAACTGACCCCAGTTGTCGTGACCAAAACTTTTTTAGGGACGTCGCAGATGCTCATGACCATGGTCTGCGGCTGCGTCCAGCTCTATTTCCCCTGCGGTATGTACAAGTCGCACCCGCGACTCTCCAAGCCGCCCGGCTTCTACAAGCATATGGTGCTTGTCGGCTGCACCAGGTTTGCGACGGTCCTCCTTGGCCTCGTCTCGCTCAACTACGTCGCGGTCAGCTTCACTGAGACTATCAAGAGCTCGGCGCCTATCTTCACCGTCTTCATCTCAAGGTGCCTTTTAGGTAAGTCACATCCTCTTTTGTGTCGGTACTTCTTTCACTTACTCTTTTTGTGTGTGTCTTTTTCAGGAGAGGAGACGGGTCTTTGGGTCAAGCTGTCCCTTCTGCCGGTCATGGGCGGGCTCGCCCTTTGCTCAATTAACGAGATTTCCTTCGACGCACGTGGTTTCATCGCAGCCATGGCGACCAATTTTACGGAATGGTAAACTTTTGTAGAATATCAACTGTTGGATCGTTCCTCTATCTGCTCTGTGTGACCGTGTCATACATCTTACTTTTTCCAAACGGAACATACCATCTGCTATGCTTTATAAGGTCCATGTCAAACCTCTTTTATTTTCCAAGCATGAAACGTTCCATCTGCTCTCCTTTCGATCCACGCTATACCTTTACTCTTTTCCTCGCATGGAACGTTCCAACTTTGTGTTACGACCCGTTTTTGGAAAAATGTCATACCTCTTTCTGTACAGCTTGCAGAACGTCTATTCGAAGATGCTAATCTCCGGAGACAAGTTCAAATACTCGTGAGTATACAATCATATGTTAACAAAGCGTGTCGCTGACCCCGCCGTGCTTTGCCGCGCAGGCCCGCGGAGCTCCAGTTCTACACGAGCCTCGCCTCCATGCTTCTCCAGGTGCCGACGTCCCTCGTATACATGGACTCGTCGTCCCTCGGTGGTGTGACTCCGTCGCACATGGTCGCATTCGCTCTCAACGGACTCTTCTTCCACCTGCAGAGCATCACCGCCTATGTCCTTATGGACTATACCAGCCCGCTGACGCACAGGTAAGAGACACCATCATCTTTTACATCTACCCTTTACCGTCCATTAGAATCGATCATGCGTTCTACCTTTCACCCAACATCTTTTATCCTCCAGTGTGGCCAACACCGCCAAAAGGGCCCTGCTCATCTGGGCGTCGGTCATCATGTTCGGCAACCCCGTTACCGGACTTTCAGCCCTCGGCACGTGCACCGTCATCTTCGGCGTCCTCCTCTACAACAAGGCACGTGAGATCGACACCCTCTCGGCCAGACACGGCAAACTCGATGAAGTGAGTGCGACAAACTTTTATGTTATTTTTTTTAAATCTTATTTTTCCGTCTGACAGGCGTTCGAACCGTTGCAGCCGGTTAGGAGGATTTGACTCTTCGCTTCCTCCGTCGCCCAGAAGGATCGATCAAAACATTTTCTCAAAATATTCCAGAGCCAAAACCGATGAGGAAAATTCTTTTCCCGCCCAACTTTTTTTAAAACTAAAAAGAAAATTATGTGATTGTATATAATCAAACAAACTCTGAGGGTTATTTCGAAATTTCCAAACCTCGGATTAATTGTGATATATAAAACTAATTATTATAATATAGACTTATTATCTTAACCCCTTCCCCTCCCCCTCTATCCAAGAAGTACTGTGAACACAAAGAATTTTATTTATGTAATAGATCTTAGGTAATTTATTATGTATATTAGGTAAAAGTGTTGTGCTACTGACTTGTTTATTTTGGTTCATTTTGTTCTTTTGTACAGTGTATATTATACTTTTGTATACTATATTGCGAAAAAGAGAGAGAAGGAAATTTAAAAATATATATCTTATTTGTCAATATTTTTGTGTATTCCATCGTTCCTTGCCACAACTCGATTGTAAAACGAAACAGCAAGATTATTAACACCCAAAGATTTATCATTAAGTGCCATATACCTAGACCTATGAAATCCTCCTTCGGTGTTATGATATTGCTTTTTCCCCTTTTATTTACAGTTGTTCTTAATGTTGCAAGAAGAACGCACATCAAAAACATCAAACTAAGTGTTTCGGGATTAGGTGTCTCCATGGGCAATTAATGTAAGATGAGGTAGTGCAACAGTTAAGAGGTTAGTAGTGCTCTTTACGTTCTGAGAATGGTTAGGGATTGTCATCTAGTCTCGCAGTCCAACTATAAATTGAAAAACAGCGAGACTAAGACCGGAAAGGTTTTTCATTATGCAATCAATAACTTTCCGTTTTTTTATTTACAGTTGTTCTTTAATACTATGACCGTTGCCATTTGTGAGTATGGTCATCTAGTCTCTCTATAAATTCTAAACGGAAAACAGCGGAACTAGTAGAATTGTCTCCAGATAGTCAACCTTATCATTAAATTTTCGTCGATTTTTGAGAATTCTTCTGGATCATCGAGCTGCTCTGTGATGTTGAACAGTACCTGGTCTTCTGGGTATTTCTTCAACTGTGTATCTCTGAGAAAAAAAAAAAAATTATCTACAGATTGATACGCTTTATGAAGTGACTCACCCGTCGATAACGAAACGTGCTAACATGTTCACGTATTTCTTTGCAACCCATTCGTTCTTCGGGTCGACGAGGCACCCTTTAATCGTGAAGATATAAGGCAGTTCGTCCCCGTGAGACGTGCCTTCGCCCGACCTCGGGACTCGGCAGTTCATGAGACCGAGTTCGCTCTTGAAGTCGAACATGAAACCCTGAAAGGGTCCGTCGTGGTATAACGCCTCCCTGATCGCCGGTAGAAAGAACCAGCCGTCTGACATCATGTTGCTAACACGTTTGTCCCTCGAAGAAGTCATTTCATACATATCGTTCATTTGGCCTTTAATATACCACAAGTTCTTTCGAGACAAATAATAGTCAAAGTCAAAGTAGGTTCTGAACATGGTGTCTTTCCAGTTTCCAGTCCAATTTCTCTCCCTGGCGACTATGATTAAAAAGAAGATATGATTTGGAACATTTATTAATAGGTTGGTTTTTACATGCTGATATGATATCCCCTTCGTTTCTGTTCAATCCGAGAAGCAGTGTGAAGTTGCTGTTTACAAAGGGGAATTCGCGCCCGGGTTCCTGATGGATATAAATGCTTTCTTGGACAGGTTTGAACGGCCATAACATGGTATCCCACAAATTTGCCGACTTGAAAAAGAAAAAAAAGGTAAAGATCAGCTGGATGTTACAGTAAGATGGAAACGCACTTCGAGCATCATCGTTCGTGAAGTGTTGACTAATGTTGAGAACCGTATTTTTTCTAAACAGGCCGGTTTAATTGTTTCTAAACATTCCTCTTCTACATTTTCACTCTTGAGGAGCATGGCTTGATATTTGGAGTACGTCAAAAACGCAAATGTAGCCTTGGCCCAGGGTGCGAACCGCGTCCCGCTGATTGCGATGCCCCTTTTGATCGCGTGTCCACCTGCTCGAACATCATGTATTTCTGCTACTACGAAAACATAGGTCAGTTTTACCTGGAGTCCAATTGTTTCGTTTTAGGTGGAAAAGGGCGTGGGACGCTCCTGCACCGTGGCCGGCGAGTGTTATCCTCCCGGGATCACCGCCGAAACTTTTTATGTTCTTCGTCACCCATTCTATCGCTACTCTCTGGTCATCGAGGCCGTAGTTCCCAAACAATTTGGCAAAATAAGATCTCACAAACCCTGGCATCAAACAGTTAAAGCAAAGAAGCAATGGACGATAATTCAAAAGAGTACTGGAATACCGAGGACGTCCAGGCGGTAGGTCATAGTCACGAAGACTATATCGTGATCCATGAACCTGCTCGGGTCGTATTTGCTGCTCCGAGTCGTTCCGAGTGACAATTGCGTCCCATGGATCCAGATCAAAACAGGCATGCTTACATTCCTCTGAAAAGTGAAAAGCATTTTCATTTGATAGGAAATAACGACATTCATAGACTTTACCCGATAGCTTGGGGTGTAGATGTTGAGAAACGTACAGTCCTTTCTTCCAAAGATCTCACCGCTGGTCGGGTCCACATGCATGCAGTTGATTCTTCGATTTAAGCTCTGTAACCAGCTCCTGGGTTCCGAGTTAATCGGTACAAAACGAAACTTCGACGTTTCTACCCTCCACTTATAGCGGATCCCTTCGAAAGCGGTGTAATTTCTCCCGCCCGGCGACGTTCTACGAATTGGCGTCGCGAAAGACCACGCAGGTGTCTTAAGGTGAACCATTTCACCGGCCTCCACGAAGATTAGAATAAACCATAGGCACCACTTCATCATGTCTACTGATCCGTCTACGTGGCACCTAGATTTTTTATATGTCATCACTTCATGCTTCGATCCACCTTGGAAAATCATTCTATTTTAAACTAATCTACCGTGTAAGCAATGCCAGACAAGGACACCTGCTAATAAATAATTTAAATAAAAAAGTTTCTGAGGGACCCTTAAAGTTCATCTATCATCATACTATCTTACTCTAAAAGCCCTCGTACTTACCCGTATGAAACTCTAACCTTAACTGTCAAATCACCACTCATTAATATACGACAATTTGCCCTTTACCATTAAGTGACGAACCTTGGACCTTTTTTTTCTTTGCAAAATAAATGGTCAGGTCTCGCTTTGAACTCAGTTAGTTGTAAATGAAGAAGATTGTGCAGGTGAAGGATGCGATAGATAAGACATGTCGAAACCCAAGGAGTCATCATGTTACGTTGTGAGAATAGTTAGGGATGGTCATCATAGTCCAACTACAAACGCAAAAAGAGCGAGACTATTAACAATCAAAGATTTGTCATTAAGTGCCATCTACACCTAAGAATCTTCTTGGGTGTTACGATATATTACGTTTTCTCCTTTTATTCACAGTTATTCTCAACGTAGCAAGAAAAACAATTACACATAAAACAATCAAAGTATGTATGTATTTCGTGATTATGTGTCTCCATGGGCAGTTAATGTAAGATGAGGTAGTGCAAACAGTTAACACTTTCGAAGTAGACGGTACGTTATGAGAATGGTTGGTATGGTCATCTAGTCTCACCGTTCAACTATAAACTTAAAAACAGCGAGACCATTTGGACCGGAATGGTTTTCCATTATGCATCTTAGACTAAATCAATCCTTTTGGGTGTTAGGATCAATCACCTTTCCGCTTTTTATTTACAGTTGCTCGAACGGTACAACTTTTTGTGACGTGTTGGAACGGACCAAATGTTTCACCGTTTTGTTAGACCGTTTCAACTGTCAAATTAGTACAGAACAATCTTATTGGCTGCATTGAACCGTTTCACCGTTGTGATGACCGGCCAATTCTTCGAACCACTCTCCAGGAGGCGTGGCTATTCTCCAATTTGCAACGCCCCAACTGTTGTTATCTGTCTTAGAACTGTTGTCCAGCTGTTAAAACGTAAACGGTCTTATTTTCCTCATTTGATCGGGACGTCCCAAATGTTCAATTCACTCCGAACGCCACATTTCGCCCTCTCGGAGCGACGGTGTATGGGCGGAGAGGGTCCTTCTTAATTGAAGTAACAAATCTCTTCCCTTTGCAATTGCGCCGGACACTTGCCGATTTTCTGGGGGTCTTTATCATCGGTATGTACGCTATGGAGGGAAAACGGGGTGATTTTAAATAATAAGGTAAAAACGGTGGTTTGGGAACAAGATAGATTCATTAAATTAAATTGTCGTTATCGCAAGCCAGGAGGATAAAGAGCAAGCTTGCACGCGAGAAAGGAATTATATAAAACCTTAGGTGTATTGAAGAGTAGCGAAGAAAATGATGACGATGGTGATGGACGAATAAAAGTCCGACGAAAACAAATGGAAGCTTCGTGGACGACGCTACGACTGAGTATCCACGTGGCGGATCGATCCAATACCGTTGAAGGTTGTAGAACGATGACCACGACGACGACGGGTTCCCGATGATGATGGATGACTAAAATCCGACGGAAACAAATGGAAGTAAGGTGGGCGACGCACCGATCGTGTATCCACGTGGCCAGTCAATTTCCCGAGATGAGACCTTAAGAACGACGACGAGTCTACGATGGTTGAAACGAGATTGCAAACCTCCGACGCAAACAAAATAGTCTTGTGACATGGGCAAGAGAAGATCCACGAGGTTAAGACGATCGGGTTACGTTGCACTTTTTTTAATCGAACTCTGGCTTACGACTGACTGTTACCTTGGAAGGGACGATACACATCGATTCAAAACAATAATCGATAGGGTTACATATGAGATTAGGATTATTAGTGCTTAATTAACTAATTTTTAATAAGAAAATAGAATAAATTCGTTTCGGCATAAACAATTGTATTCAAACAGTTGGACCGTTCCGACTGTTTCATTCGTACAGAATGGCTATTTTCGGTCTGTTGGAACGTCTCAACTTTTATATTCATAATAGAACGATCATATTTAGCTCTATTGGAGCATCCCAACTGTTACATTCGTTGCGACCGGTTGTTCGACAGCAGCCAAATACAAAATGGCTCTAAGCGAACACCACTGAAGACAAGAGATGTGAATTGTGGAAGAAGGAAAGAGGGATAAAATGTTTCGGCACCAACGGGAGTGTAACTTCCCGATGGAATGAAAGATAATGGAAATGACACAGGAAGAATGAGAGAGACGATGAAATTAAGACTCGCGTAAGTGAAGCACGTGGCGGGCTGCTCTGGCTAGAAAATCTATAGGTGAGATGATGCGTAGTTGGGCGATGGTCAGAAATCCAGAGTCGATGGCAGTGATATGGATAAAGTCTCTCGGAGATGATAAGGGATAATACGTCGTATAAGGAATTGAGGAAATTAAGGGAAATGGTGATAAGTTTAAGACCATGCGGTCAGGAGATGGATGATGATGTCCTTTTTGAAGGGCGTTTAATTGCTCGGCTAAGGAGAACTTTCCGATATCGGCGGAGAGTTGAGATAAACGAATGTCCAGATGGGATAACGATTCTAAGAGAACCTTTAAGTCATATTATATTGATTGAGTTGGAACGTCCCAACTTTGAAATTCATAATATAACGATCTTATTTTGCTCTATTGGAACGGTTGGAACATTCCAACTGTTACATTCGTTGAGAAGGTCATATTTCGCTCTTTTGGAACGGATGTTTTGTCAATAAAACAGCCACAATTTTGACCGTTCGGACTTTTAGAACACACCAACTAGGAAAAAATTAATTATAAAGTATTAAAAGGTCATATGTCATTCTTTTGAAACAGTTGGACATTTCCTGCCGTGCGAGTTATGACGAACGGCCATATTTTGCTCTTAGTACGGTTGGAACATCCCAACTGTTCTAATCGTTCAGGACGTGATCTTTTGGAACGTCCCAACTTAAAAATTCATCGATTAGTTGCAACGATCCGTCTCGTCTACATTTTCTTCATCCGTACAACTTAACAATAATTCACAGTATTTATGTCGCATTTTAATTACCAATTTGAACGATTTAACCGTTAAACCCGCGTCACGCTTCGATCCACCTTGGTAAATCAACCAATTTGGGACTAATGTACTGTGTCATCCATGCCGTTTGTTTGTTTATCTGTTTCAATTATAGTGGGATGATATTCGACCGTCATGAAGTCAGTACTGATGACGTTGAATATCCTCGGCGTGTGTGCCGCTAAGGGTAACATCGAATATATAAGGGGTAAGCTGTCCGTAACTCTCAACGGGGTGACGTATAATGCCTTCGAAGGAGTCCGCTACGCCTCGGCGCCCGTCGAGAAATACAGCTTTGAAGTAAGTTCGTTCTTGGCGAAAGATGATCGATTAATGTCTGGTATAGGAGCCTATTGCAGAATACGAATTGAAAAGTAACCTCGGCCGTAAAGTCGACTGCTTGCAGATCGACCCAGAGAACGGCAAGTCCATCGGAGAAGATGATTGTCTCTTTCTCAACGTCTACACACCTTCCCCCGTGAGTATGTTCAATCCGGGGTCTTTGAGTTTTTTCTGTTTAGATGACTGAACGTGCGCCGGTCATGGTTTGGATCCACGGGACGCCGTTTCCACTCGGTACGAGTCAGAGCAGTCTTTACGAACCTGAGTTGTTCATGGAACAAGGGGTGGTAGTCGTAACCTTGAGCTACCGTTTAGACGTCCTCGGTATGAATTGGTTAATCTTAAGGGTTTTTACTGATCGACTTATCTGCCAGGTTTCGCAAGTTACGAGACGTCGAAGATGCCGGGCAACTACGGCCTACAGGATCAGGAGTTGGCTATAAAATGGGTCTTAAAAAACATACAATTTTTCGGAGGTGATCCCGATAGGATCACACTCGCCGGACATGGATCTGGTGCTGCGCATGTCCTATTCCACCTCAACGGTCGCATGGCAGGTATTCAAAAAAACTCGATAGGTTTATCTTTTAAAACTATTTAAACTAACTAAAATTTAATCAGGTAAGATCGAAAGAGGGATTGCACTGAGCGGGTCCAGGTTCGCGCCTTGGGCCTTGTCTGTCGGGTCTTGGACATCGAAGCAAACCCACAGTCTTGCATCTTGGATGAAAGACAGAAAACTATCTCCGTGTCCTACTTTCACGCCCAACTGCTTAAAAAAAGCAAACGCAACCACGATGATCGATTGGTCTTTCAAAACCATTACGTCTGTTGGTATCAAGCCTTCAACAAATAATAAACATATAAAATTTTAATTTCTTTAAGCTGCCCATGTTGTGGGATCGTCTCACCTGGCCTTTCAGACCTGTCGTCGATCAGGTATACATAAAATCCTACCCATGGTCTTCGAACAGTTCTGGGAACTTCTCACTTCTACTAGGACTGAACAGGGACGAAGGAGACATCATGAATATATGTATAATTTTGATTAATTGGGTGTAATGATTAGTTGAAGGTTTATTGCAGTTGCAGACGTGAGGAATTGGATGGTAAAAGACAGAGAAACACTTTTTGACACATTCATCGCGGTACACCATCCGGCGAGGCTTAATCTCGACGTCGACTTACAGTCAAGGATCAACGCTCTGTACGAAGGGACGAGGATTTGGAAGAACCAGCTGAACCAGTTAGCAACAGACGGATGGTTCTTCTACCCTGCGGTCGAGGAAGCGCGGAGCCATGCGGGCCCACTCCAGGCTTTCATGTTCGACTTCCAGTCCGACTTCGCTCACATGGGATGTTCGGTGCGAAGGAGGACGAACGTGGCCGCCCACGGGGACGAGTTGCCATTCATTTTCAACATCTCAGCCTGCAGATACACCTTAGCAAATAGGCGTACCGCCAAGAAATACGTCGACACGTTGGCATCATTCGTCAGAAACGGGTAAAAAAACCCGCGGCGAACCGTCTAAAAAACTTACTTCATCTTTGTACGAATTTTCCAGTAAGGCGAGTCTTAAACGGTACTCGGATGACAAGGAACTGTTCGATATCACGGCTGCTTTATCGAACCCAGAAGTTTTTGGTACATTTGACAAGAGCATCGCAAAAAGGATGCGCTTCTGGAAGGATTTGGGCCTCTACTCAAAATGAATTAATAATTGCCCTATTGTAGAATAAAATATTTTCAAATCATACACTTGGAACCCGTATAATTTTGTTATACCATATTCCTACCACCATTTCCAATTTTACCTCGAGTACAAGTTTCATTAGTAGTAATTCTTCGTAGTCTTGCTGTTCCCCAGGAACCAGTACAAAATGCCGCTGACGAACACCACCGATGGTAGAAGATTGGAAATTATAATGAAAAAGGTGATGTGAAAAAAAAAGGTGCAACTTAAGTTGGAAAAAATCGCTGCTGTCTTCCACGCTCGTCAGCTGTTCATGATCCGGATTCACTCTATGAGGGGAGTTGGGGTTGACTTTCAGAAAGCATTGCTGGTGGGTCACTAGGTCTTTTCTACACGTGTCCCGCTTCTGGGCCCTTAGAAGAGCTTTGCAGGTGACGGTTTGGCTTCCTCTGCCTAGTGGTCGTGGCTCACATTCCCCCGCCGGAACTTAGCGGCGCCAATAAATAAATGGCGCTCCCAGGACGGGCCCCGCGGAGGCGTTCGGCTGGGACATGAGGGAAGAGCAATGTGACTAGCTTATTAAGCTATGGCAAGCTATATTCATAGTGCTTTGGCGGCACTGCTCGTTAAACGGGCCAGCCTTTTTGCCGCATTACGGCCTTCTAGAATGTTTGGGTGGCTTTATAACCATCTGGACTAGCGATGATATCTTTCAGTGTGTTTACGTTAGCCACCTCGCTATTTGTTTCAAACAGCCATCTGATACGAGGGATGCTGTACATTTCGCACGATAGAGCAACATGCTCAGCTGTCTCCTGATTCCCGCAGGGGCATAATGGGCTAGATTTCAGACCGAATTGGTGGTTGGTGGGTCACCGTCTGGCCTACTTTCTTTTACTGTTCCTAAGCCGTCGCCGGCTCTTTACAGCATCATTGGCTTATATTTTTATTTGTGTAGCTTTTTTATTAACGACGGAANACCCTGCCGCCGACCTCCGCCAAATCCTTACCGGAATGGTAGAAGCAGAGGTCGTCGACAAAAAGCATCCTTTTTATCTGCGGAGGGATGCCGTCTGGCCTGCTTTCTTTTACTGTTCCTAAGCCGTCGCCGGCTCTTTACAGTATCTTTGGCTTATTTTTAATTTTTTAATTATGTAGCTTTTTTATTAGAGACGGAAGCGTTTGAACGTGGGGGTCAGAGAGAACGTGTCAAAAAAAAAAAAAAAAAGTACTTGTGGATATAAAAAAAAACAAAAAAAAACAGTACTTGTGGATTAAAAAAAAAAAAAAACATAAATAATACTGATAATAATGGCACGTTCCTCTCCCCACTCCTGTTCTTATTGGACTCTTATGTCCATGGCCTTTTTTAAAACGGTCGCATCTACACTCCACCTGCCGAGCTCTTCGTCACATTTATAGTGTCCAGGATGGGCCTCGCGGAGGCGGCTCGTAGGGATATTAAATTCAGGTGGAGGAGGGTGCTTCACTTGTTTGGCTCACTTTCCTTGTTGTTTACTGGTTGCTGTTGAGTTGGTGTAACTGGGTAGCTGCGTAGTGCGATGTTGCTGTGCCGGGTGGAAAAAAAAAAAAATTATACAACAATTACAATACAATAATTATACACAATAATAATTAATAATAATAATTATAATTAAAAAAAATGAAAAAAATAATAATAATTAACAACAAATTAAGTAAATATCCCTAAAACACTAAACACTCACTTTATTTACACTATACACTTTACACTAACCACCCTTTCTGTTTCATGATGGCTTTCCACAATTTCTGAGTTGCCCGGAAACCGGACAGTGAGGAGACCGCGCGACGCAGGGTGCTCACGTCCAACGATTGTTCTCCGGTTTCAACGAGAAATCTCAATCGAGCTTGTTCATATTTATGGCATGAAAATGCCACGTGTTCAGCAGTCTCTGCTTCACCACACTCACAGAAAGGGCTGTCTTTTAGTCTGAATCTATGCAGCTTTTCTGCGAAATCTCCATGACCCGAGAGCAGTTGCGACATAAAATGATCAATTTCTAAATGTTTCATTTTCAATCTGCTCTCAATGTTAGGGAAGATTCTATATGTGTACCGCCCTTTCTGCGGAGGGATGCCGTCAGCAATTCCGTTCACCGCCACTAAGAAAAGCGCAACGCTCATCACCGAACCCTGGGGGATGCCGTTCTCTTGAACGTGATCCCCAGAGAGCACGGTACCCAGCCTGACTCGGAACCTGCGGTTCTCCAAGAAACCCCGGAGAAACCTCGGCAACTGACCTCTTAGACCAAAATCGTGACACTTCCGTAGTATCGCGTATCTCCACGTCGTATCATACGCCTTCTCAAGGTCGAAGAACACAGCCAGANTGAAATGCCTCGTTCAGAAGCGCCATACCAGCGGCAGTGATCCCACTTCTTTCGCAGCCAAAAGGTTGCGATGCCGACCTGGAGGTGATCTTTCCCATCGCGATTTTTATATGTAGTCCCCATCTGTTTGTTCGATCTTCATTTTCAACGAACTCTCTCCATGTCGTACGTTTAGCGCGCCGCAATTCTTTCTTGAACTTGCGTTTTGCATTGTGATATTCTGTTCTGTATGCTTCCCTAGAGAAAGGGTCTGGGCATCTCTGGAAACGTCGTCTAGCACGCTGAGCTGCTGCTTTTAATTCAGCGACGTACGTACTCCACCAAGCCGGTCGACCTCCTTTTTCACTTTTCTTACAAAGTCTCTCAGGGCCTCTGACCAAAGCTGTACTTAGTATGGCCACCTTTTCATCAATGGCAGCATTATCTGTGTCAGGCCAGAGTAGAATTTCCTCTTCGTGTAGGAGATCACCTTTGACAACGTTTGCCAATTCATCTCCACTAAGACCAGCTAAGCATAATCGCTTCTTCCTTATTTGTTGTGGTTGCCTTGTATTGGTCTGCAGATCCAATCTCAACCATGCATGATCACTAGTAGTGGCGTTGATATCTATGTGGAAACGCTCCACTCGTCGATATAGAGACGGGGTCACTAGCATTAAGTCCACTGCGGACTCTCCTTGATCTGCGCTATACGTTATAGGAGAATCCTCAGTATTTAGGAGGTAGATATTTTCCTCTTGGATTGTATCCATCACAATCGTACCGCGCCTATCGATATTTTTATCACCCCACGCCGGGCTGTGTGCATTGAAATCCCCTCCTACTACGGCATTTTTCCCGGTGTATTTTCGGAGGGGATTTCTGATTCGTTCCATGTCTTCGCCTATGTCGCGCAATCGACAGCAGTATATGGATACCACGAGGAGTTCCTCGCCTGCCCATTCAATGAGGCAACATGCCATATCATCATTACTTTCCGGCAATAGTATGGCGTTAATATTTTTGTTCAAAATATACACTGCCGCCCTGGGACGCTTTGCACTTCTCAAGCGAACTACTCGAGCTGCTACTCCCATCGCAGTGTCAATTCCTTTCTTCCATGGTTCCTGTGTCAGGACAAGATCCACCCCTTGCTCATCTGACAGGACACGCGCTTCATCCATCACCACTTTGGAGCCATGGCAATTTAGCTGTGCAACCTTTAGAGGGGTTCTTTCACGCTTATTTTTTTGGCGCATCATTGCTGTGAGTTGGAGGGTTTGTTGCTGAGTGCCCACTCCCTGCTGCTGGACTAGAACCCTCGCCTCGCTGACGACCGTTTCCGATCCGTGACAGTTGAGCTGGGCAATCCTCAATGGTGTTCTTTTACGACCCTTCATGGTGCAGCTGGTGTGCTGCCTTCGCATGCAGGGCTCTCCTGCTTATCGTCAGTGTCTAGTACTTCCCCCCGGTCCGTGGCACACCAAGCTCTCGCAATAGCTCGAGCGTGTGCCTCACATTGCAGGGATCCTACATGGTGATCACTAGCCTTGCCCAATCTATGGCAATGGACGCACCGCGTCTTCTCACGCGGGCNCCTGCTGCTGGACTAGAACCCTCGCCTCGCTGACGACCGTTTCCGATCCGTGACAGTTGAGCTGGGCAATCCTCAATGGTGCTCTTTTACGACCCTTCATGGTGCAGCTGGTGTGCTGCCTTCGCATGCAGGGCTCTCCTGCTTATCGTCAGTGTCTAGTACTTCCCCCCGGTCCGTGGCACACCAAGCTCTCGCAATAGCTCGAGCGTGTGCCTCACATTGCAGGGATCCTACATGGTGATCACTAGCCTTGCCCAATCTATGGCAATGGACGCACCGCGTCTTCTCACGCGGGCACTGCCGCGTATCGTGGGGATCCGAACAAATGCCACAGACTGGGTCTTTCTTTGGGCATACTGCTGCTACATGCCCATATAGCTGGCAGTTGTAGCACCTGGTCACTCCTGTATAATCTTTGGCTACGCAAACCTGGTAGTCCAGGTATGCCTTACCACGGTCATTCGCTACTTTCCATGTCCGCGGGTCCACCTCAATAACCCACGACACGTAGGGGGACTTTTCTCTGGTGCCGCTACCGTATTTTAGGGTGAACAAGGGCCGAATTTTAGTCTTTTCCCAGGCATCCTCCTGGCTGTTGTTCGCCGCCAACTGCTCGATTAGATCCTCCGGCTGGGTCTCCTTGGGGACGCGCAAGAGCAATAGTCTCGGGTTACGTTTGCCCGCCGTTCGCACATTAAGGCCTGCATGGCTAAGTGCCTCATTGGCGAGTAGGGTTTGTCGGTCATTCTGGGTATCCACCTTGACGGCTACTCCGCCTTTTGCTGTTATTCTTATATCATCAATCCGGATTCGTGTTACCCTAGGGTTGATGATATCTTTGACCTTCTTAAGGACCTCTTGAGGGTCCATATTCTCCCGTGGATCGATAAAGACTAATTTAGCCTCATTATCGATCGCTTCCCTTGCTTTTTTCATAAGGGATACTCTATCCCTACCGGGCTTGCTTCCTGCCTCAGTCGCAGGTTGCTGCTTTTTCTTAGGCTTAGATTTCCCTTTCACTACTGTAAGCCATTGGTTTTCGGCTTCATTTGGGCATGCAGGTTCTGTTACTGAGGGTTTGGGATCATTCTGCTCGGGTTCTTGTTGGCGCGGCATGGGTAAGG